GGAACACACCTGGATAATGTGCTTCACCTGGTGCTGGAGGCAGCAAGGGACCAAAAGGAGAGGTCCTGGTGGCACTGAGGGACCAAATGGGGAGGTCCTGGTTTCCAGGGAGGCTTCAGGAGAAGAGTTCCCCCGGGCATAAGGCAAACCAAGGAGGGTTAACGGCGCCGGCCTCGCAGCACATCCGCACATGGTGACCTCTTTTTGAGTTAAACAAATGCCGGTTTCTTTAAATTAAAGAGGCACTGGTCCAATGTAAAGAAAGGAGGGACCAAGTGCACGGAGCTGTGCTTTTCCAGACTGCCTTCTGGCTGGAGCAGGGCAGGGAGGCGGGCGCAATGCGCACTGCAGGCGCTGCGGAGGGGCTTCAGAAAATAAAGTCAGAAGGCAGCCCTGGGTTACCATGGAGGGCAGAAGTTGCCTTGTGTACACTGGAGGTTTCCAAGCAATGCCTGAGCTACTACAGAAAACTCTTCTTATCAGCAAATCCAAGCTCGTTTCCTGGATAATGCATCTAGGTCAGGCGCAGGAGCGCAGCACTGGCGATGCCTGCGTGTGGAACATCAGCACAGCAAACATCAGCAGGCATTTCTTTTCATCAAAAAAGAAGTGCACTTCAGATCAAGGCTCCTCCAGAAGCAGCATTCACCTTCATTGCTCGGAGGGCTCCCATCTCACCCCTTGTGAGACACCCCTTGTTGTGTCACACAGCAGCCGTGCGCCCACCGCAGCCGTGTGCCACCTCCAGCCCTGCAGCCATCCCAGTGCACTGCATTGTGCACGAGCAGCAAAACCACTCCGTCAGCCAAAACGTATTCTCCTCCCGTGGATTAGCTGGCACAAACGAGCACGGGAGTGACGCATGCAAACTGTCTCTTCCCATTTTTCAACACGCACAAACACCGGGGATTTGGAGATGCTTTGCAAGTTCACGCTCTTAAGTTACAGGCAGCACTGAGCTGACACGGAGTGGGGCATGGATGTGTTTAGGAGCTCAAATGTCCGTTCGGCACTGAGACCTCAATGCTTTTCCAAGCAAACCCCCATCCCGCCCCCCCAGCAGGCAGCACAGTGCAAAGTGAGCGATTTCAACAGCCCCGTGCTGTGCCAAGCAGCTCTGACACAACCCACAGAACAGGACAGTGCACTCCGTGCTGCCCCAGAGCCCAGCAGCACCGCATGGCCTCAGCCCCACAGCCCCGAGTCCTGAGCACACAACTCAGCAGAGGGCCCTGCCAAAACGTGACAGCTTCCATAGAAACGACAGCCTGCATCCCCACTGCTGGTTCAGTTCAGTATGAAACCAGTGAGAAAGCGAGCTGAAAGGGAGCACAGGTTGAGTCTTGCTGGCCAATGCACGCGACCACCCAGCCCAGCTGCTGGATCCACTGATCCCAGTGCCAAAATGCTCCTGTTACATGCCTTAAAAACAAAACAGCTTCATAGAAACCAAAAGGGTTCAACATCAAGTTTGCTCTCCCCAGAATTTTTAGAAAGCAGAAAGCTCCCAAAAGGCCAAACTGAGTCTCTCTGATTAATCACATCCTCTTAAGGTGCAGATAAAAAACAGAACATGACCAAAAAAAAAAAGAGAGAGAAAAAAAGCACTCTCAGGCCAAGGGATTCTGCCCCAAAGTTTCTATTTTCCTTTGGCACGTCACCAATTAGAAGTACTGCTGCAGCCTGCTGCCACTGGTATAAAAGAAAAAAAAGCATAATGGGTTTCTAATTTGCCACCGAATCCCATAGCAACTGTACGTCACTTTGGATGTAAATTACAGACGGTTCTTTCCCGTGCAATTTGAAAACTATAGAGATGAATCTATAATTTGAGCAGACCTAAACGCTGTATGGTCGAGAGGAAAAAGCTGCCCTAAATAATTGAAAGGAAACCACCAGGGGCCAAAACATTCCTCCGAATGATGCGAAGCCTCTCCCCATGCCATCCCTCAGCTGGGAGCTGTGGGTCGGCGCTGAGCTCGGCACGTCCCGGCCCATTTCTGCTGATGGCTGAGCAGCACAGCTTCCTTCCCCAGCCTCCTCAGGGCTGATTCACTCGCTCATGTCACCGTCTCATGTTCCTGATGTCGTAACAGCTTCAATTCTGACGGACGACAGCATCGGTGAGTTAAGAGGACAGGAAAAAACAGGTTATGGGAGAGGAGGGATGATGCAGAAAGCCCAGAGATAACGAGCTCTGATTCAGAAGCTGTGCTCTCTTTCTGACACCTGCGATGCGCTGCTCTACGGACCCTTCATTTTGCAGTTTGGGCTTTAAGCACAGCAGACTGACCTTAAACCCAGCTCTGGAGAAGTTATTTCAGCACCGGAGGCTGCAAAGGATCTGCTTAACCCTTTGGGAAACAGCTTCTGCCACACCATCCTGCGGGGAAGGAAGGGGATGCAGGGAGCCCCAGCAGCAGACCACAGATCCAACGCTGGGTTCAGAGCGTGGGGCAGAGCTGGGGTGAGCTCAGCTCAGCCCCCACTGAGTATCTGTGCACCTGCCAAAGCTCACCAGGACTCAGCTGGCAGCGCTGGGGACACGGATGGCTGCCATCAGAGCAGTGCACAACGGGGAGAGGTGCACGGCTGCGCTCACGTCACTTTTTATCAGAATGCAATCCGCTGTGCGAGTGCTGCTCCTAAAACCACAGCCATTTTCTGATAAATATGGGAAATTCCCACCGGGGAAGTTCCAGGAATAGTCATCAGCATTGCATGGCCCCAGCACTGGTGGGTGTGATGGCACACGGGTCTGAGCGTGGTGCTCAGTTCACATCTACCCACCAAGAACTGCTGTGATGCTGACAGAAGTTGGGGGCAAAAAGCAAAGGATGAGCGCTGTGTGCTGAGGGGTGCCCAGGTGTATTGATGGGGTAACACCACAGCTGTCACGGAGTGGGAAGGATGAGACCCAGGGCAAAGGCTGCGGGAGGAAAGCAGGGCAGGGGCACAGCAGCCCCCGGCTGCTTGGCCTGGCAGAGCAGAGGGGACAGAAGCTGCACGGGGAGGCTCAGCAGTGCCCAGACCATCCAGTGTGTGGCTAAGGCAGGCGAGCCAACGCAGAGCGCATTCCTTGGAGAGCTGAGCGTTGTTTTAGGCTGCTGGACAAGGCTGGCTCCATCTCACCAGCACACAGGCTGGCCTGGGACACGTTACCAATGCTCAGCCTTCAACTGCAGAGCCCAGAAAAAAGAGACTGCTGGGAGGTGTGAGCAGGTGATGCGGGTTCTGCTCTTTCCATGCAAGCGCAGCACCCCACACTGCGGCTGGAGACAGAAACCCAGCAGATCCCAGCACCCAAAAGGGATGAACACCACTCTCCATCACCCCACTACCTGCCCACAGCTCCACTAAAGGAACACAAGTGCTGCAACCCAAAGCAGCAGACCCAACAGGGTGATCGCTTTGGGATTATTCTGCATCATTCTTAGAACAACTCAACCAAACGAAGCCATGGCCCCGTTTGCAGGCATCATACCAACACAGCATCCTGCTGCAGGAACAGTTCAGGCTGCACACATGGAGCTGCAGGAGCCCCCGAGCATTGCTGGCTGCGGGGCCACGATCCACAGAACGCAACACCACCAGCAATTTTTTTCCATTTGCCAAAATTAAATCACAGCCCAGAGGAGCTGCAAACAGCCACCCCAGGTGTGCCAACGCTGCTGCCCCAGCAGTGGGGAAACTCACCGGGCCGACGCAGTGCGTGTGCTCACGGCCACTCATTGCTGCCTTATTCACTGCACAAACAGCACTGCCGTCCCTCCCTGCTCAGCAGCTCCGGCTGCTGCTCCTTTGGGTGGCGGGGAAGGAAGCAAAGTTCATTAGTGGCCGATGGCCACCAAACAGCATTTGGAAAATAAACACCACTATTCACGGCGCCTCGACCCAGAATAGCTTCCCAAAATACTGAGCGCAGCTGCCCGGAGCCTTCCTACTCACCCTCCCCCAAAGGAAAAGACCTTCCCAATACACAGGCCTCATTTCTTTCATTTTTAACGTATAGACATTTTTAACTGTAAAGAGAAAAATAATTGAAACCCTCAGCCTATCCAAGGCCCCTTCTATCGCCACTGCCTTCTCACAGCGCCGATAAGCGCTCATTAAAAGACGAGTTGATAAACCTTGGAACAGTAATTACGTCCGTCCTCGCACGGCTGATTGCCCAACACGGGGCTGTGATGTAACCCACACCCGAAATTAAAAATAGTGTTGTGACAACATATGGCTTATCCTACAGAGCCGGCAGCGCGGTGGGTTCCGGCTGCTGGGAAGGTGAAGGGCGGCACTGAGATGCGGGGAAAAGGGGGGAAAAGAACGCGAGAGGATGAGAGGACGGAGCTGGGACCGCGATGGGGGGGAGCTCAGCGCAGACAGCGGGGAATGGCGATGTGCGGCCCGAGCCGGGGGGCGGGTGGGGGGGGGGACCCCAAAGACACGAAGCGGGAGGGGGGGGGGGGGACACCTCACAGCTCCC